AATTTTACACAGACGGAATTATGAAACTACCCATCAGGTGGCATAAGGTTATTGAACAGAAGGGTGAATACATTGTGGATTAAATGTTTTTATTTATTTCAAAATATTATATTTTATTTCTTTCTAAAAACTGAATGAACTTTTGGTTTAACCCAATACTAAGAATATAACTTAAATATAAAGCATAAAAGTAACATTCCACTTCTGGACAAGATTGCCTCCAGGTAAAATGGTCATCACAGAGCATAACAAACTGTATTCTGAGAATGATTTCAAACCTTGTCAGAGTTGTGAAAGTCACATGACATGAGAGACGTAAGGACAAATGATCTTTGTTAATATTAGCCATTGTTGGAATTAACCAGGGAATACTTTAACCAATTCATAACTTTCAAAAATCAAATGAGTCTAAGAATTGAGTTCCCAAGAACAAGCAACAAATGTAATTCATGAAAATAATAATAAGATAGTACAGTGCTGTCAATTTGCCTTGTATGAACTACAGAGTAGTTAGTAACTAACTTAGTACTGATTATTTGAGAACAAGTTGATTAGCATTGTTGGTAATTACAGAGATTGAAGTTAATGATTAAATATAGTATTAAAATTCCTTGAGAAGCCAGATCACAGAATAACTTTGTCTTTGTATCACTGCATATGATTAGAATTTCCAACAGCAGAGCAAGAAACTATGAGGAAAAGTCAAAAATTGTCTGCACTTTATTTTTTTAATTTATTTACACAAATGTAGGGATTGAACAAATACATCATTTTTCTACCTAGTCTCCTTTCTTGTCCTTACCTAGTCTACTTGGTCCAACAGTCCACAACCTTTTAAAGCATCTATGAGCAGTCCAAAGAGATGATAGTCAGAAAGGATGAGATCTAGGCTGTAAACAGGGTGTTCCAGCACCTTGAAATTCAAGTGAGTAATGGTTTCAATGGTTGGCCAGCCGTGTATGTCATGCAGCAACAACACTTTCTTTGACAATAGGCCTCAGCATTTGATGTGAATTGCTGGCTTAAGATTGTTGGTCAGCAAATCACTAGAGAAATCAAATTACTGGTTTTTGTTCCTCCTTAGTGCACACTGCTAGCAGATCAGCCAAGTTTAACAGAAACAGAAACAAGAAAAATGATGCTATTAATATTAATGATACTACTGTGATCACATTACTGAAGTTTGACCTAAAATGTATTGGACAAATGATACACACCATGTTGAGAGAATTTAATATGTATAAAGGAATTTACTGTTATGTTATGATTTAATAATTAGTATGTATCAATAATATAGTTTCCCACTATAATTTATTAGTAGATTTCATTGTTTTACACAATGTAAACAAATATGCAGAATTAGCTACATTTATTTTAGAACAATATTTTAACATGTTAATTAAATTCTAAAAAAAATACCATCTAAAGAAATGATCTGATATTAATATTATTATGTTGAATGATTATTACTCCCAGTTTTATTATAATTATAATATTGAGATGTCCTGTTTTTTCATGACTGCATATTATTTTGTTTTTATGTTCTTAAAAAAGTTTTGTGAAAATATACACATTGGCAAAAAGTTACATTTCCAGATAGAATTTTCTTGTTACTGCAAAACTTTGCATACACTATGTCTCTGACAGGTACATAAGTGATTACAGTTGCATATTAATCAATGCCATTAAGTGCCTTAGGGTTAAAAAGGCTTACAGAGGCTCACTGTGTTCAGAATTTGCACTGTACCTGTTGTTTGAAAGTATTTGAATGCAAGCATGCCAGTATGGTCCAACCAACCAAATACAGCTAATTGAGTTTGAGAAAGGTTGCATTATTGGACTGAGAGAAGTAGGATGGCCATTTCATTGAATTGCTGACCATCTAGCCATTCGGCCTAACTGTATGGAAGTGCTAGGGGCAGTGGATATGTGAAGGTAATCACACATGATGGTCAGGCTCTAGATGCGCTAGGGATGTCCAATCTTTATAAGTGTGTGCACCAAAATCACCAAATTTATGATGCAAAATTTTTGGGAGCGTGTTATTATTTGGTGTCTTTTAAGTATTGAGAAAACATTTCAAAATAATCAAAAATCCACGTACAGTGAAAACTTGACGGGATGAAAGGGTCTTTCAGATAATGCAGAAACTTGTTTGTATTTTGTTTTGGGTACATCAAGCACTGTGAATTTAAAGTTTCATGAACTATCAATATAAGTTAAATACTATAATGCATTAATGTGTTTGCAAGTAAACTAATTTACTCAAAATTTAACATAACAAAATTTATATGACCTAGTTTTATGGTGTAACAATGAACAGATGACACAGTAATTTCCAGTTACATGAAGTGTTTGGTCTCTGTGTATTATACTCTGTAGTGTGCACAATGCTACAGATTCTAGTTTTTTTCTTTTTAACTGTTCTGGATAATCAAGTTTTTAAGTATATATATTATACACTTTAAAAACCTCATAAATTCTTCACAAAGCATAAAAAAATATATATAAAATGATGATAAAGAAATCAGCCTCTGTCTTGCTGCCAGGCAAATAATGCAACAACTGAACAGGTTAAAATTTCTAAGTCAATAAATTGCAGAAATAGTTATGTCTTGGAAATAAGATATTTGATTCATTTTCTTATTACTTATTACTAAAGCAGTTGATAGTGTTTGTTTCTTTATTGCATATTTATTTAATATTGCTCAACTCAATAATTCTATTCTATTAACTTAAAATATACAACTCAATAAAGATGTTGGATATTTATTTTTTAAGATGACCCCTGGATTGTGTGCTAGAAAAAAGCATTGGTATGCTCATTTGGCATGTGTGTCAAGGGTTACTCACCACTGCCCTAGATAAACTACCAGGCGAGATGGTTTTCTGATTGTTAGACAAGCACAAACAGCTGCAATGGTATCTTTGTCTATCGTCCAGATATGTATAGAAGTTTTACTACAGAATTTTCTTATCCAGTGTCTTCTTGTACCATTGGCAGGCAACTATCAGAGGCAAGTTTATATGAATGGCAACTACTCACTATGTGTCTTGCTGTTAGCACTCTAAAAATGTTGACTTCATTTGCAGTGATGCCATGAGAGAGAGGTACTGACTGCTATGGACTGGCAATATATTGTCTTAAGCAACAAATCCCAGTTCTGTTCAGAAATAGACAACTATGTTAGTGTGGAGGACCACTGGTAAAATGCTTGAACCTTTACTGCTGAACAGCACACTGTCTCAACTGCTGGCATTCACCACCCCTAGTAGTGATGTAAGAGACAGTGACAACATGGTGATATGTTCATGAAATTCTTTGCTCTCATGTGTTCCTTTTATGGCAGGATTGCAAACAGCTATCTTTCAGCAAGATAATGCTCATTCTTCTCAAATGGTTAGTTTTCCAGTAAATCTATCAATTTTCCACACTTTCTTGACCTGCCTGTCTCCAGATTTGTCACCCATTGATCATTTGTGGGATCAGATTAGATGCAGCTTTGGCTATCTACAAATGTTAGGAATTTGGAGTAATCATTGCAACATCTGGGAAAATCTATTGCAGGATAGCATACAGTGCTTCTATGCCTCCATGCCCAACTGTATTACTTTATGTATCCAGATGAGAAGAGGTTTTACAAGATAGTAAAGGTTTGTTTAAATTGTAATCACTTATTACCATCTTTATTATGTTTGCACTAATAAAGTTTCATTTGATTCCATTTCATACTTCTTGATGCATAACTTTTTGTCAGTGTGTTTAATTTCAACATGTGCTTATGAGAGTCTTTGCTAAAGAACAAAATTGAAATAGCATGCCATCAGATATTTCTGGAAGTGGTAGTGGTTAGATGTTTTAGTTTTCAGTAATAAATAATAAGTTTTAAATACAATATTATTTTGAATTTACGATTTTCAGGAAACAGGATTTTCAGGGAAAAAATTACATCTCTTAAAGATGTAATTTTTTTTGGTTAAGGTTAATAAAATAATCTGGAAAAATCCAATAATAATTAATTTTTTATGTGAATGAATTTGATATATCAAAGACTTGTCATTGTAAAATATGAATTTTTGTCTTTTAAGCTAACAATGGTTGTTATAAGTGGCTTATTTTAAAAAATAAATTTAAAACAGTAATTTACATTTGCATTTAAAATGTGAATCAAATTTAAATTCAAATATAAATTATGGGCATACCCCAGGTTACATACATAATGCATTCCATCAAATAGTAGTAGTATAGTGAATTGTCATTTTCCATATTTTTTTTATTTAAAGAAAGTTTTACCTCATGGAAAGTTTTTGAGCAATGATCAATATGCTTTCACACCCCAGCATTTCCTTGTTAAATTGTGTAATACTCTACAGCAAGAAAAGGAGTGATATCTCTCTCTGTTAATATTTCTAGATATCAAAGGTGCAAGTTTGACAATGTTTGTTGGCCCTCAATTTTAAAACTTATTGGAGATACCAAAGTACCACAAAATATTTTCTACTTGCTCCAGCATTCCTTAAAAGACAGAGCAGCTAAGCTTAAATTGGACTTTGTTTAAAAAAAAAAACTGCTCTCTAAATAAAGGTGGTTCTCAGGGCTCAGTATCTGGACCCCTACTCTGGAATGTTACTATAAATGACTTGCTAATTAAATTCTCAGACTGTATCTGTTTGTTGGTTATAAAATCAGCTATATCATTAAAAAATAATTCATTATTGTTGATTTGCCAAATTTTCTTAAACCCCAGATATTTTTGGTCTTGGACACCCAGACACATGACACATAAATCAGACCTGTGGCAACACTTGAACAGATGAAATGTTGTATCAGTGGGGATAGTAAATAGGATCATGGTAGGGATAGAAATATGTGATGGTTGTATCTACGGTTTGTTTTATCAAGAGATGTTGTAACCTGGGATATGCCTGTATTTAATTTTGATTAATTAAAGTTTTAAAAAAATTTATGAAAGTTAAGTACAATGAAATGATTTTTTTAGGTAAGTTATTCCCAGTGCCTTGGAGTTATTGGATATTCAGTGTTACCACTAGTAATTACAGCAACTATTCTGCCACTATTATATTCTTTGGTTTATGTTAGCATGTTTATAAAGGTAATGATGTATTTTGTTTTAATAGTTTTAAGTGAATAAATAGTTTTACTGTTTTAATGAATTCCTCTAAAATTATTACTAGTACATATTCACAAACAATTTATTGGTTTTTATATATACTTTGAGTCATTTCAAAATTTTATATACTTTTCTTAACAAATATACAAAATTTTCAAATGATTCTGAATATTAGATGATATAAATCAGGCTTTACTGGAGTAAAATACAAATTAAGAACCTCACTTTAGGAAATTAGGAATATTTACCTTCATTTTAACTAAATAATTGTTTTGTCTTTACTTTTCTGGCTGTTATATATGCATAATAAGGAAAAGTATTGGAATCATGTCAAATTTGACTGTCTGGGTTTTTGCAATTCTCAACATTTTGAGACCCCTAAACCCAAAACTTGGAAAAAATTCTGTGGATGTATTTGTTTCTGTGTGTATGCATGTGTGTTGGCATCTATTTTGTTTAATACCTCAGGATGAGATAAAGATGAAGAAACATAATTTGGCATGGTAACTTGTGTATAAGGGGCAGTGCTATTAAATTTTGGTGGTTAAAAGTCGAGGGGTGATGAGATAGATAGCGGGGGGTCATGTAATATCTTGAGGGGTTGAACTTAATAAAGATTTTACTTGTTATTAGCATTTACAATTTTTTTTTATAAAACTCATTTCTACCCTCAAAATTTAAAGCTTTTTTGCCATTTTGTAATAATTAATAATATGAAAAGTTCTTATAATAAAATCTCCTAACAGCTGGGAAAGTTATGCAACTCATCTATATATATAAAAACTAGCTTACCCGTCGCGCATTGCTGCGATCTCAGAAGAAAGGAAATTCAAGCAAACTCGTTATGATAAAATTCAATTTACATTTTATCATTTTTATTGAAACTTATTATTATTATTCATTTTCATCGGGAAAACATTTCAAAGTGTCGTTTCAATTCTATTTATTTATTGGAGTGCTTGTGGATACACGATATTTTTTGTTTTTCCGTCTGGTGCGTACACGAATAAATCGGAAGGTTTTCCGACGCGTGAGCCGGCCACATACAGTTGTCCATGCGAGAAGCACGGATTCTCCAAATTTAGCCCACACACTCGCAGCGATTGTCAGAAGTGCGATATTCCCCATTTTTATATATATTTTTTAATCCTTTATAATTTTAATTATTTAATTGCTCCTTCCTCTCTTCCTTGGCATGTTGTGAAATTTCTGATAGTTGGATAATAAACCGTTTTATTGTAATTTGTCTTTTTAAATTATTTTGAGTCGATATTAAAATTTGGAAAAAGGGGGATACCTAGATCGGTAAAATACGCGAATTTCTTCCTACAACTTCGGTTGTTGTTCGGGGTACAGTTAAGGTTTTAACGAAGTTCGAGCGAATACATAATTAGCAAAAAAAAGTTGAAATAAAGTGATTAAACAAAAATTATTACAAATATCGTAAATAACAGTTCATATATAGAAATATGTTTTGAAGGGGGGAAATGGTCTTCACAATTTGAAATGGATCGGACACACACTGCGCGAATGCTCGTGTAAACGCGCGCCATCTATCGTAGGATAAATGTACTTTGCGGGAGTGTATTAAAAAATTAAAAAACTTTCCAAAGTTTCATGGCAATCGTACTATGCCACAAACCTTCGCTGGAGTATATTAAACAACTTACCAAAGTTTCACGGCAATCGGATAAACGGTGTGGTAATGCATGAAGGACAGACACACATACATTCATTTTTATATATATAGATGAATGTATGTGTGTGTATGTGTCCTTCATGCATTACCACACCATTTATCCGATTGTCGTGAAACTTTGGGAAGTTGTTTAATATACTCCAGCGAAGGTTTGTGGCATAGTACGATTGCCACGAAACTTTGGGAAGTTTTTTAATACACTCTCGCGAAGGTTTTTGGCATTTATCCTACGATAGATGGAGCACGTTTACACGAGCATTCGAGTACAGTGTGTTCAATCGATTTCAAATTGTGAAGACCATTTCCCTCCTTCAAAAAATATCTCTATATACGCATTTGTGAACTGTTATTTACGATATTTGTAATACTTTTGCTTTAATCACTTTATTTTAACTTTTTTTTGCTAATTATGTATTCGCTTGAACTTCGTTAAAACCTTAACTGTACCCCGAACAACAACTGAAGTTGTAGGAAGAAATTCGCATATTTTACCGATCTAGGTATCCCCCTTTTTCCAAATTTTAATATCAATTCAAAATAATTTAAAAAGACAAATTACAATAAAACGGTTTATTATCCAACTATCAGAAATTTCACAACATGCCAAGGAAGAGAGGAAGGAGCAATTAAATAATTAAAATTATAAAGGATTAAAAAATATATATATATAAATGGGGAATATCGCACTTCTGACAATCGCTGCAAGTGTGTGGGCTAAATTTGGAGAATCTGTGCTTTTCGCATGGACAACTGTATGTAGCCAGCTCACGCGTCGGAAAACTTCTGATTATTTGTGTACGCACCAGAAGGAAAAACAAAAAATATCATGTATCCACAAACACTCCAATATATAAATAGAATTGAAACGACACTTTGAAATGTTTTCCTGATGAAAATGAATAATAATAAGTTTCAATAAAAATGATAAAATGTAACTTAATTTTATCATAACGAGTTTGCTTGAATTTCGTTTCTTCTGAGATCGCAGCAATGCACGACGGGTAAGCTAGTTGCTGTATATTTTTCTTCAATTTACATAGTTTTTCAAAATGAACATTATATATTTGAATTTATGTAAAATTCACACTGTTAATTCTATTAAAACCAAACAATTACCAGATTAAATTGGGCTATATTATTACTGCTAATAATAATTAAATTTAATAATTATAATTAAATTGATATTTATTAAATAAGATAAAAAATTCTGGAAGAAAAGAATTGGCTCCAAGTGGGACTTGAATCAGTAACTTCCATTTACCATGCAGATGCATTGTCATTAAACTCTCCAGACCTCCGTTCAATCCTTTGCTTCTAGACATACACTGGCAGAAATTGAAAGTGTTACACCCACTCAATATTGTCGAAGACATATGTAGTTGGGACAAAAGAATCTCTTTTTGAAGAATATTAAATGATAAAAAATTAAATGAAGTACATATAGTGGTATGGAAATTATGGAGACATTTGTTATGCAAAATTGCTATAGTGTTTAGTTTATAATTTGTGAACTGTGTTATGGAACGTGACTTTTTTTTGGGTCCACATGTTGGTGACCAGCTATGCCATATCGACAAGTGAGAATTCTATACACCCAAATGTCTGACTTTGAAGAGTTCGGATAATTGGCATGTCAGAAATGGGAGCTTCATATCGTGAAATTGCCTGAAGGATTGACTGTAGTGCAATGTCAGTACAAAGAGTGGTCACACGGTGGATGCAGGAAGGGTCCAGTACTCGCAGACCTGGCACAGGTCCACGCAGAAGGATGACTCCACATGTAGACCACCATATTGTGCGGATGGCAGTTGCTGACAGATGTGCGATGGCAGCACAGATTCAAGCAGTAGTTACTGCCAGAGTCACCCCATGGATAATTGTAAACTGATTGCTTGATGATGGGCTGAGACTCGGACCCCATGCAATGTGTTCCCTTAACCATATTTCATTGCCAGCAATGGCTAACATGGTGTGCTGCTAAATGTAATTGGGCACATGAATGGCATACAGTTGTGTTTAGTGATGAATCCTGATTCTGTTTAGGCCAATGTGATAGTCAGCAACATGTCTGCTGGCGTGCTGAAGAAAGAGCCCACCCTGCTGTAATTTCAGAGTGCCACTCAGGTCCAACTCCTGGTGTCATGGTTTGGGAAGCAATCAGTTACGACAGCAGGACCGAGTTGGTGATTGTTGAAGACACAATGATCGCTCGCCAGTATGTGGATAGGGTGATCCATCCAGTAGTCATACCTTTCATGAACACCATCCAAAACAGTACCTTCCAACAAAATAATGCCCATCCTCATGCTGCTGCCATCACATGACAGGTCTTGCAAAATGTTGCAATCATGGATTGGCCCACCCAGTCTCCAGATTTATCTCCTAAAGAGCATGTCTGGAATGCCATGGGTAGACGGATTATGTCTCATAGCCATCCAGCACACACTGTACAACAACTGATTGCACAAGTTGTGCAGGCATGGAGAGATATACTCCAACAAGACATTCAAGCACTTATTGTTTCAATGCCTGCAAGGATCCAAGAGTGTATCCATGCTCAAGGTGGCCATACCTCTTACAGAAACATGTACCAAATAGCAATAAAACTTTGTGTAATTCATTTCATTTTTGTTCATTTCTTCTGGGTATGCCCCTGTACATGTTTACCAAGTTTCATGAATTTCTATCAATTCCATCTGGGTGTAACACTTTCAATTTCTGCCAGTGTATTTAATTTTGATATAACAATGTTAGTTACAGCACCAACTGGGATAACTCAGTGGCTATGGCCTATAATCATCCACTATGAAACAGCTGGCAGTAGTTTTACCCCTGCATGGTGTATATATACATAGTACAATCCAACAGTTCGGGGGACTTGGCTTAAAATTCCTTACCTTAAAAAGTTTATATTGCCGATGCATAACCACCTTTAAAGTAATCACCTTGGGCAACGATACACTTTTGCCAGCGTTCGTATAACTTCTGGAAGCACTGCTGGAAGCCATTTTTTCAAACCTCCCATAAGGCCTCCTGTGATGCTGCTCTCACCTCATCTGATGACACAAAATGGCGTACCTGCAAATGCTTTTTCATTGATGAAAACAAATAAAAATCACATGGGGCTAAGTTTGGCGAATAGGCGGGGTGTGGAAGCACATTAATTTGAGTTTTGGCGAGAAACTGTGTGACCATTTGGGACCGATGTGCTAGGTGCATTGTCATGCAGAAGGTACCAGTCTCCACTTTGCCAGATCTGTGGCCTATTACGACGAATGGATTC